AGTCACTCAAAATACGACTGGGGAAGAGTGGCCTCTTTAAATTACGTTGACTAAGTGATGTGACTGAAGCAAAGTTTTTGGGAGCTTCATATGCTGGTGGGAAATAAGAATAGCTGCAGACATCCATTAATAACCAGAACGTACATGCACCACGTATGAATCTAGGAAAAGTTGTCAAAATGAAATGGAATGCATAATGATCGATAGCCAAGGCATTAGTGAGCGAAAATGGACTGGAATTGGCCATTATGAATCTGACAATCATATGGTTTACTGTACTGGGAATGACAAATCGAAGAGGAATGGAATAGCATTCATCATCAAAAAGAACATTTCAAGATCTATCTTGAAGTACAGTGCTATCTGTGATAGTATAATATTAGCATGCCTAAAATAGATTAGACAAGCAAGAACTTGCTAGCTAGAGCCTAACAGGAAGACCAATTAGAAGCCAATGATGATGAAATGAAATAATTCTACCAACTTCTTCAGTCTGAAATTGATAAAAAATGCAATCAAGATGCATTGATAATTACTGGTGACTGGAATGTGAAAGTTGGAAACAAGAAGGATCAGAAGTTGGTAAATATGACCTTAGTGATAGAAATTACACTGGAGATCATATGACAGAATTTTGAAAACCAATCATTTATTCATTACAAATACCTTTTTTCAATAACGTAAATGACTACACACGTGGACTTTATAAGATGCAATACACAGAAAAAAATCAAATACAGCTGTGGAAAGAGACAACAGGGAAACTCCGTATCATCAGTCAAACATGGCCAGGGACCAACTGTGGAACACATCAACTGCTCATATGTAAGTTCAGGCTGAAGTGGAAGAAAATGAAAATAAATACACAAGAGCCAGACTATGTCCTTAGATATATCTCACCTGAATCTAGAGACCATGTCAAGAACAGATTTGATGCATTTGATATTAATGACTGAAGACCAGGAGAGTTGTGGGATGATATCAAGAACATCATACAGGAAAAAGCAAAAGGTCATTAAAAAGACAGGAAAGAAAGAAAAGAGCAAGATGAATTTCAGAAGAGACTCTGAAACTTCCTCTTGAGGGTTTGTTGTTGTTAAGTGCCGTTGAGTCGATTCTGACCCATAGTGACCCTGTTATAGGGTTTCCAAGGAGCAGCTGGTGAGCTTGAACACCGAACTTGCCGTTCAAACGGCTTTGCAGTCTGACACATTAGCCCACAGCGCCACACCAGGACTCTTGAGGGTAGAGAAGCTAAAATGATGGAAAGAAATGATGACATAAAGAGCTGAACAGAAAATTTCAAACACAAAGTCAAGTACTATAACAAAATGTGCAAAGACCTGGAATAAGAAAACCTAAAGGGAAGAAGACACTCAACATTTCTTAAGCTGAAAGATCTGAAGCAAAAATTTAAGCCTCAAGTTGAAATATTGAAAGATTCTAGGAGTCCTCGTGTGGTGCTCTAGGATAAGCACTGGACTACTAACCACATGGTTGGCAGTTTGAACCCATCAGCTGCTCCTGGGAAACCTATAAAAAGGACTTTATGAGTTGGAACTGACTTGATGGCACTTAACAGCAACAACAACACAGGCAAAATATTGGAAAGAAGCAAAAGAAGATGGAAAGACTACATAGAGTCACTATACCAAAAATAATTGACTGATGTTCAACCATTTCAATAAGTAGCATATGATCAAGAACCAATGGTAATAAAGGAAGAAGTCCAAGCTGCTCTGAAGGCACTGGTGGAAAACAAGGCTCTAGGAATGACAGAATACAAATGGAAAGCTTTTTAAAAAACTCATGCAGCACTGGAGGCATTCACTCATCTATGCCAAATTTGGAAGACGATGACTCTGAGACCAGAAGAACTAGACAGTGCCCGGCTACCACTACCAACTGCCATGAAAGGGATAACATTAGAGGGTCCTGGATAGAGTGGGAGAAACTTTGGAACAAAACTCAAAATTATTTAAAAAAAAGACTGGTTTTTCTGGTCAGAAAGAGACCAGAGGAACCTGACCTTATAGCCTTAGACAACCCTTCAGGTCTGGAAAAGAACTCACCTCTATGGCTCAGTTTTCACCCAAACACTTGAAAGGTTTATAGGGTGAGGGGTAGGGGCAACAACACCAGCAAGGTATGCTCACCATGAAATTGTCAATCATTCAAAATCAAACGAGCAACATTTTCTTAAGGACAAAGCTGAGAACAGATAGGAAGATAGGTGGAATGCAAATAGAAATCACAGGGAAGAGGCAGGATAACTGTTGTTGCAAGGAAGGGATTGTACTCCTTAAACTGAAACAAAGTGGATGATTTGTTGAATGTAAAGATAATGATTAGGTATGTAAACCTTCATTCAATTCACAATAAAAAGTTAAAAACAAACAAAAATACACAAATGAAATGAAAAAGTAGTGGAATTTTTCACAAACATTTTGAAGCCCTCTTTTATTTGTCTAGATTGGGTTTATAAACTCATATGCCCACAAGAAGCAGGCAAGACAGCGATGAGGACTTTGGCAAACCTCAAGCACATGACCCATTCAGTTAGCTCAGTAGCTGTCCAGCTATAATTTATTCCTCACCCACTGCCATCAAGTTGATTCCAACTCATAGCAACCCTGTAGAGGCTTTCCAAGGCGGTCAATCTTTATAGGAGCAGAAAGCCTCACATATTTCTCCACAAACTTTCTGAAGCCCTCTCATATTGTCTTCTGTGAGTGGTGAGGTCTTTAGCATTTTAAGAGCACAGTGGTTACGAATCGGGCTGCAAACCGCAAGGTCAGCAGTTCAAAACTACTGGCTATTCTGTGGGAGAAAGATGAGGCTTTCTGCTCCCATAAAGATTTACAGCTTCAGAAACCCTGTGTAGGGTGCTATGAGTTGGAACCAACTCCATGGCACTTAACCACCATCACCACCACATGGATAAGAAGTTTGCATGAGGTGTTTGCTTAACTGAAGTGGTGGTGGTTATATGCCGTGGAGTTGGTTCCGACTCATAGTGACCCTGTACAGGGTTTTCTAAGCTATAAATCTCTACAGAAGCAGAAAGCCTCATCTTTCTCCCATGGAACTGCTGGTAGTTTCGAACTGCTGACCCTGAAGTTAGCAGCCTGATTTGTAACTACTATGCTACCAGAGCTCCTTAACTGTAGTGGAGTGAGTTAATTTCTACTGAATTATTTAATGTTTCTTCTAGTAAATTTCCACCAAACTACTACTTCCTGATGGGTGTGGTAAGAGAAGGTGGGGGAAGATGCTGATGGAATACATGATTCACTTGTAAGTAACGTTTAGCAGGATTGTGATGGCAACGCTTGGAAATTGAATGAGGGGCTTGGTCAATACTAACATCCTGTTGTTGTTAAGTGCTGTTGAGTCGGTTCTAACTCTTTGTGACCCTGTATTGGGGTTCCCAGGAGTGACTGCTGGGTTTGAACCTCAGACCTTGTGGTTACCAGTCCATTGCTTATCCTATAGTACCACATCAGGACTCCCGCTGGACTTAAAAAGAGCCATCTCAGAAGTGGGAAGTGGGGGTGGGTGGGAAGGGGAATCCCAGTATCATCAAAGAAGAAGAGCCAGAAGTGGAGCATGTCCTTGGGGTGCTGAGATCCCTGTGCACTAAACCTTGACTCAGGGACGCAAGTTGTGACATTGGCAGAGGGGCAGCAGCAGCAGAATCAAGAGCCAGAGCATGGCATAGAGCGGTGGGCTTCCCAGCCCAAAGTGCAAGTCAAGCTGAGTGATTTTGAGCAGGAAGGTTGCTTGAAGAATGGGGTGTCTCCAGGCACTTAATTGGAGAGGGTGCACGTTTGCTGATCCACAGAGCTAAAGCCAAGTGCCTTCAGGCTGAGGCTGTGGTGGAGCAGTGTGTCTTGCAGCCATTTAACAGCAAGCTTTGTTCTAACACTGCCTGAAGGCACAGCTAACGAGAAGCTGTCCTGGCTGGAAGAACTGTGCCCTGAACATTTCTGATCCTGTTAACTTCCCTAATAAATCCCTTAACTGTGAGCATGGTGCAGGAGTTCTGTGTGGTCATTGCAATAGAGTGTCAAACCTAGAATAAGTAGAGTGTTGTGGGAAGAATGGTTTGGTGTCACATTTTCACATGGAGTAAAGGAAACACACTGCCACTTGTGGTGAGCAGGATTGGGTCTGTTAGCTGTGTTCCAGTATCAGGGATTGGTCCATGAATACTGTAACCTTCGACAGAAGTGCCTTATCCTCATGACATTTGTGTGATGCTTGCCTTTCTCATTCTTAAGAGGAGGGTTGAGAGTGTTGTGGCCATGGTAAGCACATGATATGGTCCACAAACCAAGTCCTCATGGAATAGAACTTATGCTCTAGCAGGAGGGTATCTGATCCTAAATGAGGAGACCATCCAATGAGGGATGAACTCCCTTCATAAGAATCTTGGAAGGAGAAACTTAAATCCATTGAGATCCGACTTAATAAATGATGTCAGCCCAATTTAAATTCACTAGCAACATTTAAATAAATGAAATATGGCCAAAGTGACAGAAGACATAAAATACACAACCATTCAAATACATTAAAAAACAATTCTGTAACTGTTTTAATTTAAAGATCATGTCTGTTCTTTACAAAACAGTAGGAATTCTTCCCAGTGGTGTTGTGTGCTTGGCATTGGCCTGTTGACTAGGTGGTTCAAAACCATCAGCTGCTCCGTGGGAGAAAGATGAGGCTGTCTGCTCATATTTACAGTCTGGGAAGACCTATACAGGGCCACCATGAGCTGGAATCAACTCAGTGGCAGCGAGTTTGGTTCTTGTTTATAATGGAAAATGGTATCAGGGGTCCCTTTGTGACAGCTTTTCCACTGGGGAAGGGAAGCACTTGTAGGATGTGCAGGCCGCCCTGCACATACCTTCCTAAAACACACAAACTGACAGATAGGAGATGCAAAGGTAAGCTGTGCTTTCTCAGAAAGGAGTGAGGGATCTGAGTGCCTCTCTTACCTGGGGTAGAGTTCCTCTCACCAATGCAGGGATATCAGCCTTGGAGTAGCCTAGGGCAGCTAGGCCATCATCAACATTCAGATCAAATAAGAATTTCCGGAGCGTGTCTGCCAAAATAAGCCCTGCATCTTGGAGCCTGGCAGTGCGGATATCAGCTCCTAGAAGACGACATAAAGCCCTGAGTGTGGGGAAGGAGGCAGAGGGACACACACACACACACACACAGAGACAGAGAGAGAGAGAGCGTGGAGGAAGTGGGCTCTGGGAGTAGTTTCGTCTGGGTGAATACAAATGTGCATCTACTGCCATGTCCCTCACACCAAGAGCCAGGGACATAGCTCACATCCACACCTAGGCTGCGGGACCACAATCCCTCAAAAGACAGACAGATGGGTCAAGCCATTCGGACGTGCACCAAGACCCTCCACAGAAGTGGACTGGGGAAGCTAACTCTGCCTCACCCTTCCAAGGGACCACTGTTTCTTAACTGCTTGTGTGGTGGAGAGAGCAAAGAAAAGAGGCACAGAAAGCAGAGCAAGAGGGCAGCTGGCATGTGGATAAAGAGGAGACAGTAATTTATGTAATTTTCCAGCTTGGAATTTGCTGACATCTAGAGGTGAAGGAGCTCTAGTTCTCTTCTCACAGAAACTGTCTTATGAGGAAAAGAAGGTAAATCCTTCGCAAACCCGTAGTGAGACAAGTGTACAGAAACACAAAAACTTCCAAATTAAGGAACTAAGTATGGCTAAAATGGATTGGAGGTGTGTAGGGATGGGAATATATATTTTCTATAGCTAAGGAGCTCTGGTAGCGTAGTGGTTACGAATCGGGCTGCGAACCTTAAGGTCAGTGGTTCGAAACTACCAGCTGCTCCGCGGGAGAAAGATGAGGCTTTCTACTCCCGTAAGGATTTACACCCTCGGAAACCCTGTACAGGGTCGCTATGGGTCGGAACCGACTCGACGGCACGTAACAACAACAACAACAATAGCTATACAATCTTTTTCTTGGGCTCTGTTGCCAAAGGCATGGTGGTGGTAGTAATTGTGTGCCACCGAGTTGGTTCTGACTCATAGCGACCCTGTATAGGGTTTCCAAGACTACAAATCTTTACAGGAGCAGAAATCCTAATCTTTCTCCCTTCGAGGGACTTGGTAGGCTCAAACTGCTGACCTTGAGGTTAGCAGCTCTGCTCATAAACCACTACACTACCAGGCAGGGTGGGTTCTTCTAAATAGATATTACTGAACCAGTAGGACAGAACCAAGAAAAGATGACACTGAGAAAACAGAACTTCACAGGTAGACAACAATGAGATTGGTAAGGTGGGGAGAAATTTGATGAGCCTCTGAGATTTGTTCAGGGCAGAATTTTGACATAATAACACACGAACTCTGAAGCGTAGGTGTTCTGTCCTCAGTCAGGGGGTTATTTTATAAGTAGAATAACATCCTGAGCACACCCTGACCTATCCTGGTGGAATACATTTCATGGCCAACAAGACAGTACTCTACAAATGGAACATGGCATCGTATGGAGTCCATCTGAAAGCTTCATGCTGTAGCCCAAGCGCCCTTTCTCTTGCGTTCTTCAAAAGGAGACCAGAATGTTCCATTCACCTCCATAGACTTGAAGCACATTATTAAATCATTTTGAATCTTTCTCTTCTACAACAGCAAGGGCCCTTGTTAGTAATCCAGGAAAAGGTATAAATAGAACCAGATACAGGACTAGTTGGCTGAGCAGCTGGATAGAAGGCAAATCTTGCTTGACAAGACTGGCCTGTATTAAACAGCAGCAGCGAAAATATGGGTTGGGTGGGGAGGTGACACATGATATGAAGTTTGAGGTTTCTATGTTCCTGGGACTGTAGCCATATAACACACCATCAAAACCACTAGGTTTTCCTGTGAGATGTTTTAGAGAAAAAAAAAAAGAGAGAGAGATGGTAGGAAAGAGAATATATATTGATCTAAAGCTAGAAAAATCTAAGATTATGTGGAGAATCAAAATATTTTAATAGCTGAATATAGCATGATATAAAACAATTTTCCTCTGCAAGGAGAAAGAATTGATGTTTTTGTTTTTCTTACTGAGGAACTACTTTCTTAGTAATTGTGCTGTTGCCTGGACGTTAGCTTTAAATTCTCCAAGTTCTTCCCATTTATCATAACTCTTACCTACTACAGTATTTGGGCTTTGTCCTATTTATTCAGTTTGGATATTTACAAAAGACTTTGAATCCCAACGCATGGCTGAACAACATCTGGGCCAGAGGAGGAGGGGAGCAAGATGCTTGGGACAGTCACATGTTTGCCTCAGCTCATGCTGGGAGATCATGCCCTGCCATGGCTTTTCTCCTGAACATTCCCAGCACATCACCTGGAATTACGTGGGAGAACCAATGCCAGCATGTAGAGGGAAGAAGTGGAGGTAAAGCAGGACACGCAGAAGGAGGCCTGTGGTCATTCCTACCTTCTTGGAAAGAATATTTTCAACGGCTGGCGCTAGGAGAGCATAATGAAGTTTTCTTTTTAGTCTTTCCCTTCCTACCCTAAACACAAGTGGGGAATAAGATGTTTTGAAAGTCAGTAAAATACTCTAGTCTAGAACTTACCATTTTCACAGAATTAGAAAAATATCCAAAGTTTTCTTATTACTACAGCTATCATGAATATAGTTATATTTCTTTTAAGACTCAAAAGGTACTCTGGGTGTCTTATTATAAAACCCATCACTGGGGAGGAGTTGATTCTGATCCCTTGTGGTCCCATGTGTGTAGGCTCTGACATTTTAGAAGTAGATAGATAGGCCTTTCTTACAAGGCCCCTTTGGGTGGGTTCAAACCACCAACCTTTGGTTAGTAGTCAAATGTTTAACTGTTTGTATTACCTACTACCCACCACCCTCTGCCATTGAATCAATTCTAACTCAGAGCAGAAAGCCTCATCTTCAGCCCGCATGCGGATGGTGGGTTTGAACTACTGATTTTGTGGCTAGTAGTCCAATGCCACCAGGATTTCTTGGTATTGTTGTTGTGTGCTGTTGAGTCAATTCTGACTGACAGCGACCCTGTATAGGGTTTCCAAGAACATCTGGTGGGTCTGAACTGCTGACTTTGCCGTTACCAGTCCAGCGAAGATGCTATAGCACCACACCAGGACTCTAGGGACTCATGATTTATTAACCACAACAAAAGCCATTTATAACATTGTGATTGTTGTTGTTGTGTGCCGTTGAGTCAGTTCTGACCCATAGTGAACCTGTACACATATCAACAATATAGGCTTCCAAGGAGCAGCTGGTGAGCTTGAACCATCAATCTTGCGGTTCAAACTGACTTTGCAGTCCAGCGCATTAATCCACAGTGCCATACCAGGACTCCATTTATAATATTACCAGTACATAAAGAGTTACCCTTTCATGAAAACAAAAGAAATATTACCACAAACTTAATGTATACAATATTTAGTGCCATCTCATTGTTGATGTGGAGTCAAGCTGTGGTGCTGTGGGTTAATGTCCTGGAATGCAAAGTTGGTTTGACCTGTAAGGTCAACAGTTCAAGCTCACCAGTCACTCCTTGGAAACCCTATGCAGGGTTGCTATGGATTGGAACTGATTCAATGGCACTTCACAACAACAACAACATTGTTAATAGACTCTTGCTGTTGTGAAGTGCCAGTAACCCTGTATGGGGTTTCTAAGGAGCAGATGGTGGGTTTGAATCGCTGACCTTGCAATTAGCAGTTCAGTGCTTATCCTACTCTTAGAAGCATGAAATTAGAGAATTTTAGTGTTCAGGGTACTTTGGGCAACTCACTGATACTTTATTGTGGTTGTTAAGTGCTGTTGAGTTGGTTCTGACTCATACCAACCCTGCATAGGGTTTCTGAGGAGCACCTTATAAATTTGAACTGTGGACCTTGCAGTTCAAACTGATCTTGTGGTCCAGTGCATTATCCTACAGTGCCATACCAGGACTCTTAGAAGTATAAAATTATAGAATTTTAGTGCTAGGGTGGATTTGAGGCAAGTCACGATATTTTATAATGAAACTACCTCAAAGTAGTATTTTTTCTTGTATTACCCTTTACCATGTATTTTCAAAAGCAACCCCAGGAAATGTAGTTCATATGGGGGGGTCACAGAGTTATGAATAATGGCTCATACCCAATATTTCCGCTGCCTCCAGGTGCCGCTCCAGAAACATCTCTGCCGTAAAAGTGAACACTGCTGGGGAGGTTAGCACCACAGACAGACCATGGGGCTAAAGAGAAGTAAACCACAGTGACTTATGGGGCAGAACTGCTCTTCAGTTTGCATATTCTGAATACTAAATTATATGACCCAGCACTCCAAGAAATTAAGACTTGATATATGTGTGTATGTTGTTGTTAAGTGCTGTCAAGTTGGTTCTGATTCATAGTGACCCTTTATAGGGTTTCTGAGGAGTGGCTGGTGAGCTTGAACCAAAAACTGACTTTGCAGTCAAGCCCATTAACCCACAGTGCCACACCAGAACTTCATATATACTTATTTATGGAAATTGCAAGGAATAGAAAATGTAAAGAACTGATTACTTTACCACGAGTGGGTGATCCACATTGTAATCCTTTGCCTTATATGTCTTCACTAAACCTGAAATTGGATAGGACATTCCATGGCTAGAAAAGAAAGAAATTCTGTATGTTGACATACAGATATCAGGAATTCAAGTTAATAATAAAAAGAGATCCTTATGGGAGAGTCCTGAATAGCCTCTCAACATTATTCTTAACTCTTAAATGTACACATTGTTTTTTTGCTACAAAAATAAATTATTGTGCACTCGATAATTAGTGGATTCACGAATGAGACATCTGAAGCATTTAAATTCAATTGTTGATAGAATTAGATGTTTTAATAATTTAAAAATTGTTAATCCAGAAGTAGCTCTCCAAATGAATGAGTTAAAGCAGTTAACCTTACTAGAATCTACTTTGAGCTTTGGGGTGTTCGTTTTCTATTTGTCCCAATGCTGCCTTTAGCAGCACGCACAAGCAGACAGCACAGCTGGTGGGATGTGAACTCTCTGGTTTACATGCGCACATCTGGTCTGATGTGAACTCTCACGGCCATACCTGAGTAGTTTTTCATCTGTTATAATATACTATTGAAACCAAAACCAAACCTGTTTCCATCAAGTTGATGCTGACTTGTGGTGATCCCAGGCCACACAATTCATCCATTTCAAAGTAGGATTACACTCCATAGGGTTTTCAGTGGCTCTAACCTTTACAGATACAGATTTCCAGACCTTTCATGGTACTGCTGGGTGGATTCAAACAGCCAACCTTTCACTTAATAATCATGGGCACACCATCTATGCCACATAAGAGCCCCTAATTGTTGTTGTTGTTAAGTGCTGTCAAGTTGGGTCCAACTCATAGTGATCCTGTATGGGTTTCCAAGAAGCAGCTGGTACGGTTGAACCACCAACCTTGTGGTTAGCAGTTCAGTGCTTATCCTACAGTGCCACACCAGGACTATAGAATCCCTAGTAGAGCTGGGTAATAGATTATTATTCTAGTGAGAAAGGCTATGTTAATTGGTTCTACTTCGATGAAATCTCTTGCTTGACTTCTTTAAGAATTTATTTAAATTTAGTTGTCATGAAGAAGAGGCACCATTTGCTTGTTTGTTTTTTGCCTGAAAAATTCTTTATACCTTCTTGAGTTCTTAGTGAACAAATTGGAAATGATTATAGGTTACTACATGATCTAGAGAATAAACACTGTGACAAATTAATATATTTACAATTGTTGTTGTTAATTGCTCTTGAGTTGGTTCTGACCCACAGTGATCTCGCATAGGCTTTCCGACGACTGGCTGGTGACCTTAAGTCACTGACACTGCAGATACAACCAACTTTGTAATCTAGCGCATTAACTCACAGTGCCACAAATTAGCATATTGAAAATAAAATGACTTATATTGATGAAATGATCCATAAATCTCTTCATGTGGGTTACTGGATGATTTTGTTCTTGTTTACCAAAGATTTTCATTTTGTTGAATGAGGAAGTATTTTGGTGAACTGTGACTGTCTATCAAAAAAAGATGCACCTTTTTGAAGCAGACAAGACGCAGTCTGTTCTGAGTTGTTGGGTATTGTGAGACTTGTTTTATCTCTTTTGTTGTTGTTGTTAAGTGCCATGAGTCAGCTCTGAGTCATAGCGACCCTGAGTAGGGTCTCTGAGGAACAGCTGGTGGGTTTGAATGGCCACACTTGTGGTTCAAATTGACCTTGTGGTCTAGTGCTTATCCTACAGTGCCACACCAGTAC